ATCGGCCTTTGCAGGTCGTCAAAAAAGAGTGCTGCGAGGGACTAAACACTTGAGTGAAGCTGTGACGCGCTGTCGTTATAAATGACTTCCAGATCCAAGATGCTTTAGTCATTTATTCTTACAAAAAAGCAACACAAGATACTACAACCGCTGTTATCGGGTCATCAAATCAACTTGCGATCGCAGTGCAGTATAGTGTCCACGCTCACCCTCTCTCTCCATCCAAGCCAAAAAACCAGGTGAACAGGTGAGTGCGCCTCATATAATCAGTAACCAGTAACAAGCAGACCGTAAACAATAAACAAATCAGTAAACAACCCATGACACCAAATACACAACCAACTTACATTTATGGCTCCTACACTATCATTATGCTTAAGTTACTGAAACCACAAATAGATCTGGTAAAGATTTTTTTTTTATTGTAACAGTGAAACAGGGGAGGAGAGGGATTTTGAGGGAGAGGGGTGTAATGAGATTGTAGAGGGGGGGTCACATCCTCAGTGCATTTCACCCTCTTCCTATGATGGCTGCTCTTTACCTTTAAATTGTGTTTTAGTTTTACATTTGTTTAAGTACATTTATTTGTCACAGATAATTTGGATCATTTGATCAGATCAGGAAACTGAGAAATAATAAAAATGTATTTGCTGTTTGACAGTCTGTGTGGAGAAGTTCACAGACTACAGCTGGCTGACGTTACGGTCGGTAACTTATTGATTGTTGATAAAAGCAGACACGGTGGAAGTGAACGGTCAGTGAGTGTCATTTGGCCCCCTGGGTCACTGCAGACACTCATTTTGTCATCATTGGTCGTTTAGTTATTACTGTAAGAAATTATTTATATTTTAAATAAAAGGTAAATAAAATATAAATAATTTCTTACAGTCATAGCAAAACTAACAATGGAGACAAAAGTCATCTTGGGATTTTCTGAAATAAATGTTTTGAGTTTTTGATCTGTGATATCTTCATTTTTATTTCACTTTCCCCTGATTACCAGGACACAGGAGAACATGTCTGTCTGAGAACATATCTGTGAATTTTAGTTTTCACTTAATTTTTTTCTCTTGTATTTGTGGTGTTTTACTGGTGTATATATTTTGGGGGTATTTATTCTGATCCCCCAGGATGTCCTGTATAGATGTATATTACATGGTTGTGAAGGACTCTGGTGAAATTACACTTGCCTTTTCACAGAAGGAGACCAGTAGTTAATAAATAAGAGGGAAATGCCTCAGACCTCAGAGGGTTAATGTTTCATTTGAGTTATGTTACAAGTGAATTCTTACCAGGGATGAGTAAATCTTGGCGACAGTCATACAGCATCCCCACGCTGAACGGCCGACCAAGTGCTGCCACCTCCATCGTCCTGCAGGGTTCAGGGTCCATCTCTAAATATTCAAACAGCAAACAGTAACTATGTTGGTCTATGCCCAAGACTCTCCTGCTATCAACTGACCATATTGTTTACTTTCTGTAACAAGGAATCTTTAGTCAGGAGCAAAAAATAATAATAATTGTATTTGTATAAAGTTGTTTCAATGTGTTTTAAAAGTGACATATAAGTAGATTTTCTTTATTTCAGTTTATCAACTTCACTGCTGTTTATTATCCCACTTATTACATGTTTACATGAGAAGAACAAATCAATAATTTGGCCTAAGGTTTGACTTGTAAACATTACTATTGATTTAGAACAGATTTCTTCCACTTAAAAAATAGTCCCTACAATTTTGCTGTTTTAACTAGTTTTAATGGAAACAGCATTGCCTTCTTATCTGTGTAATCTTTGACTATAACAAACTGTAAAGTGTTGACTGTTTTCTTTTCTTGACATGATAAAATGAACATAATGTAGGAAGAAACAGGAAAGATAAGACATAAAATACTTACCACCAATCAACTGATTCTTCACAGACTTCAGGTCAGGATGAGCACATGCTTTCTCTAAAGAAGGTTAATTAGATCATGGTTAACAGTCAGTGCATACATTTCACACATTTAGATCATGAGAAATTGGAGACCATAATATAACTCAAAAGAACAAGCTGCAGACAAACAATGACAATTTTAAACTCTGATGATGCGAGTGAATTGCTGAATGAAAAATGCTGATGAGATGTTAAAAAATCAAATTATAACCATTTACAGACTCAGTTTAGTATTTTACCATGCTGACATTTGGAATCATTAAACACTAAGTACAGCTGAAGCTGATGGGATGTTGTAAGTGCAGGTATTTGATCTTAAACCAAGTATTTGACACATTCAAGCATTTTACCTGAGGATGGCTCTAGATAGGAAAAAGTCAGGGAGCACAAGCGTTATAATGGGAACATTAAAGGTCACATCACTCCTCTTCAACCAGTGTTAATAAGTCTCAGAGCTCCTCAAAACATGTGTGCAGGGTTTTTCCTGGCTCAGAACGGCCTTTGGGGGTGACTATACTCGCTGTAGTAAACGTTCGACCTGCGTATAACAGTATAGTCTACGAGTTTGTATTACCTGAAATCTGTGCTTTCCTGTTATTTCTGACCATTTTATAAATAATATTATCATTATGCATTTCACGAAGTTACCAAGATGAATGAATTTCATGAAAATTCATATTCATAACAAGCGGTAACTTATAGATCAGAATATTTAATCAAAAAAGTCGACCACACTCAAGTTTAATCAGAGGCTCAGGTTCTTTTTGGAACTAAACTGAGTTTTGTACTGAAGTGTTGTGATGTAACTTTGTGGTTATTTTTTACATTATGAACTTTATCATCACTTATAGTTTGGGAATGTTGTAAAAATCTGGGAATAAATTCCAGAAATGTATTTCACAAATGTGTTCATAAAGGTTTCTTATAACAAACATGAAAAGATTTAAATCTGAGAGAGCTGCTCAAAGTTGGGGCACCAAGAACCTTATTAATGATAAATTAAAAATGTTACCTTCTGTCTAATGTAGCTTGTGAGGGGTCAAACTAGGGGGCTTTCAGGATTCTGAATCCAATGCAAGCATTGGTTTTGCAAATGTGTGTTTTGCACAAAATTGACTCCATTGAATACGAACCCATCCTATCTGGTCTCATCAAGTCATCAGCTTCACCACCACCAGGGTCTGGACTCCAGGGGGGGATTTATTCTGCCCACGCTCAGAATTGTCATTTTTCTACACATCGCCCACCCCATGGAGTCCAAGCGCCAAAATATTTCTGTCAAGACGCATTTCCATATTCTTCATTGTAATAAATTATTTTCTTAATTCAATTGTCTCTCCTGATTGAACTCTCAGAGGAGGCTGAAATGTTGTTGCAGAAGTCTGTAAACATATAAACTTCTTCTGTAATTGAAGACCATCATAAGCATGACTGGCCAAATGCAACTAGAGGTAAGTCTAAAGTACAATTATTTAAATGGAAATAAAGGAATGATACTTCACTGTGTTTGTATACACCCTCCCCCTTAAAGTGCAGATTTTCAGGATCCCAAAGAGAGAATAAAAAGGAAGACGCCACTATGCAAACCGCGTTGATTACTCCAATGTTTTACATGCATTAAAGCATTAAACTTAAATGTCAATCTGAATGATCCAGGTGTGTGCTGGATTACTCTGCTCTAGAGAAGATAAAACCTTTTTCATGTTTTAACAGTTTCAGCAGATGGATGTTCATCATGAGTCTGAAACAGATTTGCTATGCTGTTTATATTACCCCCGTATGTCACACAGGTTGCACGGTCTAGCACAGGACAGACTGGTCTGAAATGTTGCATCAGAATGGACCACATACTGTAACTGGATCATTTGCACACCTGCTATGCATCTGTCATTTCGATGTACGCATGCACAATATTCACACCGCAGGACATGCAATATGAAGAAAAAATTCCTTCTGGAGCCACAACATATATTTAGATAGATAGATACTTTATTGATCCCAAGGGACATTCAAATTCAAACCTTTCAATGAAGTTGAAAGCCCATTCACATTACTAACAGATCTAAATGAACATTCATTTTTACCACATTACATGCGACACACACACACACACACACAACACACACACACAACACACACACACAACACCACACACACACACACACACACACACAGCACACACACAGCCAGCCTTACAAGAAGTGAAGCATTTCACAGAAATCCCCTCTTGAGCCTTGAAAGTGAAAGTCAAAAATCGCCTCACTTATATAAGTAGCGGTGTTAGGTGGGGGTTGTTTCTGTTTGTATAAATCCAGTGAAGAAATCGTGAAACAGACTGGAGATTATAACACCATTTAATCGGCCGAGGTCAGACAACTTCATCAAACAAGCACGCTTCCACATCACTTGACTGACAAAGTGCTGACAAAGTAACAGTGTTCACAGTGCTGCTTATATTCTGTCAAAAAGGTGCAACCTACAAATTCATAAAGGTGTCTTATAAAACATATAAAAAGATGTACCTCTATAATGCATTTATTTTAACTTACAATATAAACATATTGATAATGACATTGATGTCAAAAGCACTTTTTAAATTGTACAAAAGGAGTTCATATTTAAAAGACTGTTTGTGTCTGTTAATGAAAAAGTAGACATGTGCCGTAAAGGAGAAAATAGAGGATGAATCGTGATGCATCGTGAGATCGAATGGAATCGTTGACTGGATAATCATAATCGATTTGAATCGTGAGACCAGTGAAGATGCACAGCTCTAATCTAAAAAAATACAATTTACACAGGAGGCCGTTTGATTCCTGATGTGCATGATACAGATTTCCTTACTGAAGTTGGATTTAAATCTTAAATGTGTTATAAGACACTTTTACACATTGGTGAAATAAATTGTAAGTAGGGAATTTATTCCAAGATTACTGAAATGATAAAAGGTCTACTTATATAAGTGAAGGGATTTTTTATTTCACTTTCAAGGCTGTGGGGGGGGGGGGGGGGTTCTGGGAAATACTTCACTTCTTGTAAG